GGGAGGAGGAGGAGGAGAAGGAGAAGGAGGAGGAGGAGGAGGAAAGGGTGGGGGGGATGTCTCAGCAAGATGCCCGAGGGCTCCGGGTGGAGACAGCCCGTGCCAGCTGCCCCCCCAAAAAAAAAACCCCAAACACCCAGCCGGGCTCGGCTGGAGCCGGAGGGGGCTTGGGGTGAGCCGGGAACGGGGAGGGGGGGTTCATGTCCTGCCGGGAACGGGAAGGGACAGGCGGATCTCACCCCCCCAGGAGCAAATCCCAGCTGGAAGGTGCGATGGGAGATGCCGGCCCAGCCCTCCCCGCTCGGTTTGGAGCAGCAGCCCAACAGGACTCGCCAGAAGTTGCATCACTGGGGTTTTTTACCCCCCCAGCTCCCAGCACCGGCTGCAGAACTTGCTTCTCCCAGGCTCATCATCTCCTCAGGGGGAATCTACTTGGTTTCCTTTCTTCCCTGTTTTTTTTTTTCCAGGCAAGTTTGGAGCAGGGGAAGGAACTTGCAGGACCCCCTGTCCTCCTAAATCAGCAGAACCATGGAATGGGTTGGGCTGGAAGGACCTTAAAGATCCTTTCATTCCAGGGACACCTTCCACTGGACCAGGTTGCTCCAAGCCCCGTCCCCAAACCCGGCCTTGGACACTTCCAGGGATGGGGCAGCCACAAATTCCCTGGAAAATTCCTGCCAGGGGGCACCCCCACCCTCCCTGTGGCTCTGTCCTGCCCATCCCAGTTCAGCAGCTGCGCCGACCTCACTGTTACAAGTCCCCTGACACCCTCCTGTCCTCACCCCCCCCGAGACGATGAGCATTAATTAGAGCATCCCTAATGCTAATGAGCTCTGGGGAACGAGCACATTAATGGGGGGGGGGGGTCGTTTGGGTGTCGTTAAATACGTGGGTTTATTTTTATCTTTACCAGGCAAACAACACGAGTTCCGAGGAGCAGCTGAGTCCCAGAATCTTTTGAGGTTGGAAAAAGACCTCCAGGATCATGGAATTCAGCTTCTGATCCATCCCCACCTTGTCCCTCCAAAGCCCCAGAGCTTGAATTCCTTCCAGGGTTGCTCCTGGGACATCATTCCCGGTCCAACCAGTTCTTCCTGATGCTTTGCAGGTGCTGGGACAGCTTTGAGGACTCACCAGCTTTGGCACCTTCAGGCCCTGGGATTAATCCAGGATGAGCAGGTTATAGCCCAAGCTGGATCATGGAAGTCCAAGCCATTCCCAATCCCAAGGTCTCTCCTCACGCTGCTCCATCCTGGATGAAGCATTTTCATTTAGATATGTAAGAAAGCACCATAAAAAAAAAACCCCACTCGCCTCAGGGAAGGAAAAGCACATCTCAGAAAATCCTCTGCCTGCCCCAAAACCACTTCCACACACCCAGACTGCCCACTGGGATAATTTTGGGAAGGGGCTGAAGACAGAGCAGGCCAGGGTTTAATTTGGAAGTGGCCGTTTTTTAATTAAATGGAACTATTTATATATGTACAAAGCCCAGAAAATATTGCACCATTTTAAAAACAAGGTTGTTTTACATCTGATCACCCGCTGAAGACACCTCGGGATGGACCTTCCACCAGCTCCTGTGGGGACATCCTGGAGCTGCCTCGGAATTCCACTGCTCCAGGCACACCCCAGAGAGGAAACACCTTCATCCTTCCCACCCTTGGCTCCATTTAGGGAAAACCATCCATCCCAGGGTGCTCCCAGCAGCATCCAGGACCGTCCCTCGAGCTGCTCGAAGGACAAATCAAACCAACAAACTTGGGGAATTTGTCCCAGTTCCTTCAGGGCTCGGTCGGTGCCTTTTCCTGGGGAAGTCTCTTAGGGCTCACAGCCCTTGGAAGGTTCTGGAAGGAACCTTCTGCAGGGAGGGGGCCATTCTAGTGTTGGTTTAGCTGTGATGCAGCAGTTTTCCAGCCCCTCAGTAGGCCACGGCTCCGGGATCCCGCGGGAGGCTGAACAGCACGTCGGCCTTGGCGTTGATGAAGTAGGTGGCGAGGAGGGACAGGACCAGGATGGCGATTCCCAGCACCAGGGTGAGTATCTGGGGAGGGAAGGGAAGGGAAACACCCAGGGCTGGGGTTAAACACAGACCTGCAGCTCCCAGCGGGATGGAGAGCTCGGGTTTCCAACTGCCCCCCCAAGAGCCACCAACTCACTGGGGGTGACACTGCCTGACACGGTGACATCATCTGACAGTGACATCATCTGACAGAGTGACATCACCTGACAGGCTGTGACATCACCTGACAGTGACATCACCTCACAGAGTGACATCACGTGACAGGGAGACATCAGGTGCCAGTGACATCACTTGACAGGGTGTGATGTCACCCCCCAGTATGACATCACCTGACTGAAAGTGACATCACCCGACAGGAAGTGACATCACCTGACAGGAAGTGACATCACCCAACTGACATCGCCTGACAGGAAATGCCATCACCCGACAGGAAGTGCCATCACACTGACAGGACGTGACATCACCCAACAGGAAGTGACATCACCCAACAGGAAGTGACATCACCCAACAGGAAGTGACATCATCCTGACAGGAAGTGACATCACCTGACAGGAAGTGACATCCCTCCCAACCCCATGACACCCCCCCAGCCCATCCCACCACCCCGCCGAGCGCCACACCCTCCCCCTACCCTCCCACCCACCCTCCCCTCTCCTCCAGCCCCACCTCCAGCTCCCTGCTGGCCACCAGGAAGATGCGGGCCCGGATGTCCTTCCAGCGGCTCTCTGTCCAGGTGGAATATTCCCGGGATCCCCACTGGCGCAGCTCGAAGGCTGGGGACAGCGCCTTGCTGAGCCGCACCCCGGAGCGCACGCACAGCGGCACCCGCGCCGTGGAGTTGGGCTCCAGGGGACCCTGCACCCACGAGTACTCGAACATCTGCCACACAGGGGGAGGGAGGGAGGGAGGGAGGGTGAACAGCCGTTCCTCATCTTCTGGGAGTGTTTTCCCCCGGGATTCGGGCAAGGAGAAGGGGATTTCCCGTTTTCACGGGATGACTGAGGTTGGGAAAGGCCTCTGAGGTCAGCGAGTCCACCCCGGGCCCCGTCCCCACCTTGTCACTCATCACCCCTTCCTTGGGCACCTCCAGGGGTGGGGGCTTCCCCACATCCCTGGGCAGCCCCTGCCAAGGCCTCACCACCCTTTCCATGGGGAAATTCCTGCTGATGTCGAACCTGACCCTCCCCTGGCACAGCTGGAGGCTGTTCCCTCTCCTCCTGACCTTGTTCCCTGGGAGCAGAGCCCGACCCCCCCCCGGCTCCCCCCTCCTGTCAGGGAATTCCAGAGCCACAAGGTCTCCCCTGAGCCTCCTTTTCTCCAGGCTGAGCCCCCCCCAGCTCCCTCAGGAGTTTCTCCAGCCCCTTCTCCTGCTGCTCCAGCCCCATTCCCTTCTCCAAACACACTCCAGCCCCTCAATGTCCTTCCCAAATTAAGGAGCCCAGACCTGGACACGGCACTGGATTTTCCCTCCCCGGTGCCCAGCACAGGGGGACAATCCCTCTGCTCCTGTGCCCACACCATGGCTGGTCCAACCCAGCTCCTTTTTGCCCACCCTGCCCTTGTTGGGCACTGAGATGTCTCCTCCTGGAGCAGCTTCCCCGCTCTCCCATCCAACAAAAACCCCATCCCTAACCAGCTTTTCCTCAGCCCTAGGGACGTGGCCCCGTTCCTGCCACCCCCACGAGGGACTGGCACCCACCTCCCTCTCAGAGTGGGGGTTTTTCTCGGGGTTCAGACACTCCTCCTTGGTGAGGTTGACCACGGTGCCCGTCAGGTTGGCCAGGACGTACTGCACCAGTAAGGTCGTGTTCACGGGGTTGGAAACCGCCACGTAGTGCTGGGGAACATCCCCTGGAACATCAGGAATAATGGGATTGGAGGAGGGGGGGGAAAAAACAGCAGGAACCAGCCCAGGGAACATCTGGGGGCAAAGCCCTTCCCTGCTCTTCTTCCCCTGTGTTGTTCTCACCCAGAATTCCTTTGAGGTCTGGTTTGATGATGGATTGAAACCAGGAATTGTTCATTTTGATCAGGAAGCCGTAAAGCATCCGGGTGACCTGGAAAGGCGTGGAATTGGTTTGTGCAGAGGAGAGGAAAAAAACCCAAACCATCTGACCAGCCCTGCCTCGAGCTCCTTTGGCTGAGAGATGTTCCCTGAGCACAGCCAAGGACAGGCTCTGCCCCAGCTGCCCAGAATTCCAGGGAGAGCTGTGAAAATCGGGTGGGATTCCAGCCCCAGGGATTCCTTAGCTGATCCCTGTGGTAATTCCACCTTTTCTCTGAGGATGAAGGAGCTTCATTTCTGCCTCGAGATGAAGCCACTAGAAATGAGGGAGGGATTTTTACTCTGCTTTGGTGGGAAAACAGGGAAAAGGGGTGGGGGCAGGACAGGATGCTGTGGAAAACAGGGATAGAAGGGAGGGATGGGAGGGCTCCTGGGAGATCCATGTGCTCCTACCGTTTTGGGATCAGCCTGGATGGCAGAGGTGCTGTTGGTTCCTCCAGCCAGGCCATAAAGGGCTCGGGCCACCACGGTGGCCACTTCTGCCAGGGCCTGTGAGGGGACAGGGATCCATGTTAATCCAGCCAGGCAGATCCAGGGAAACAGGCTCTGGGAGGGGAGATGGATCCGCAAATCCATCCCAAATGCTCCAAGGCCCCTCGCCGCTGGCACTGCCCCTTTTCCCAGCTTTTCCCACCTCTCCCCATGTCCCTGCTTTTTCCTTCCCAAATCACTCCCACCTCCTTCCAGCCCTTTTGTCCAAACCTTTTTCCCCCCACCTCTCCCCACATCCCTGCTTCCTCCTGCCCCCTCCCTGTCCCCCCCCGGATGCAGCAGGAACCTTGGCTGTGTCCGTGACATATTCCAAGGTCTCCTCAGGGCTCAGCCCCTCGGGATACTGCACCCTGATGTTCTCTGGAGTGTCATACATGCTCTGGTAGTATCTGAAAAGGAAGGAGGAGGAAAAAAACAGGGATTGGGGGGGAAAGGCAGGGGAGAAAGCACAGGGTGTGGAATTCAATTCCGAGCGTGTCCGCAGCGGAGTCTCCCGGGAGAGCAGAGATCCAGCCCTGCCACACGCTCCTTAAACCACTTAATGAGGATTTATAATTAACTTGGCCCTTCCACAGCTTCTCCCATCTGAGCATCTCCAAGCAATTTCCAGGCTGTGACTGGAATTTTAGGTGGGGGCTGAGCCCGAGCCGTTCGGCAGGGAGGGAAACTGAGGCAAGGACAGCAAGGGATGGGGATGCCAGATCCAAGGAATTCCAAGGGAACTCTGCTGGGGGTTTACACACCGCACCCCTGGCACTCCCAGGCAACTTGGGATGATCCCCCAAGCCTAAAAAAATGGATCCCTCAGCCCCGAGTTGTGTACAGGTTATTCCATGAATTCCCGGTCCCTGGAAGTGTCCCAGGCCAGGTTGGGCAGGGCTTGGAGCAACCTGGTATAGTGGAAGGTGTCCCTCTCCCCCCCAAAAAAAAGGGGGTGGAACTGGATGATCTTGAAGGTTCCTCCCAACACAAAACCATTCCATGACTCTCTGAAGGGAATGGGATAATTTTAAGGATTTAGGAAGAGGGGAGAGACCCATCCCTGTCCTGTACCCCCTCATTCCCACTCTCAAGCTGATGAGGAGCAAGGGATCCCTGAGGAACAGGGTCATGTGGGGTGAATCCAAGTGCCCTTTCCAAGGCCTGGGGCTTTCTGCCAGCACAAACAAAAAGCTAAATAATAATAAAAAAAAAAAAAACCAAAATAACAAAAAAACAAATAAAAAAAGGCAGCTTCTGGAAGAACAGCTGAGGCTCCTGCAAAGCTCTGTTGCCATTTGCTCACCTCTGGCTCCCAGCCAGCTGTGGAGGGAGGGGGGGGAATATTTTCCACATAAAACCGGATTTCTCTCGCTTGTCAGAACGATTTTGTTGAGCCCCGTCGGACACGGAGCTTCTCCCCCTCACATTTACCCCCTCTCCAGCATCCCAGGTGTCCTCTGGGAGCTCCTACCTGTTGTGGAAAGCTGTCCTGTGGTCAGTCAGGACCACTCCAGGGATGTGGCGAGCCCGGAGGAAGCGCTGGAAGGAGGATGGAGGGAGGGGTTGGGAAAATCCGGCTTCCTGCAGGGTCACGGCCGAGCCCACGCTGCTCCTGCTCAGGGTGTCCAGCAGGTTTCTGACCTGCAAGGAGGAGAATTGCCTTGTGCTGCTGTGCTTTTGGAAGTTTCTTTTTTTCCTGGGAAGGTTCAAACCCTGCTCAGGATCCTGGGTTTTTGGGTGTGGAGTCGTGCCAGGGGTTGGAGATGAAGGAAAGGTTCTTCCCGTGGGAGGGAGAGGTTCCAGAGGGAAGCCAGAGCTCAAGGAGCACTTGGAGCTCTCAGGGACATGGTGGGATTTCTGGGGCTGTGCAGGGACAGGAATTAAGACTCTTCCAGCTCAGGATATTCCATGATTTCCCTCTCACCTGCACCTCCACAGACTGGTTCATCCGCGAGACGGGGTCCGTGTGCATCCAGAGGATGGAGCCGTTCCTGAGAGCCACCTGCCAGGAAAACCACCCTAAATACATGGCTGGACATCCCACAGCAGGGAAATCCAGGAAAAATTCACGCCCAAGGGAATAAAAGGCCCCCCCAAACTTTTCCCACACCTGATTCAACTCCACGAAGGAGTGGATGTTGTCCAAGCGCAGAGGGAACTTGTCCTGTTCCATGTCATAGACCATCCTGGAGCTGCCAATGTAGTCAAAGGTCTCCTGCAGGAGGAAAAAATAAAAAACCCGCCTCAAATCCTGAAAAATCCCAAATCCCAAATCCTGAATCCCATCAGAGGGTGGAGGCACCTCCACCAGCAATATCTGAGGGGCTGAGAGGGAACCGACCCCAAGAGTTTTGGGGGCCAACGACCCCACTGATAAGGGACACACTGTAGGGTCACCTCCCACTATCCCAGGCTGCTCCAACCTGGCCTTGGACACTTCCAGGGATGGGGCAGCCACAGCTTCTCTGGGAATTCCATTCCAGTCCCTCCCCACCCTCACAGGGGACAATTTCTTCCCAATATCCCTCTGACAGTTTGAAGCCCTTCCCCTTTTTCCTGTCACTCCAGACCCTCGGAAATAATCTCTTCCCATATTTTCTCTTGTCTCCTCAAGGTCCTGGAAGTCCCAGTTAGGTCTCCCTGAAGCTTCTCTTCTCCAGACTGAACAATCCCAGTTGTTTTTGACAATTCAGACAACAGATCAGGGAAAAGGGTGACCCTCCCCCCCAAAATTCCAGGAATTAAGCATACAAAGCTTTCCTGAAAGGAGTGGTGTCTGCTTCCCTGGAAAAAAAAAGGTTGGGAAGGCACTTGCCAGGCTGAGAGTGGCCTGGGCAAGACGAGGTGCCCTTGGAGAACCAGAGCAGGGCAAGGGAAGTCAGGAGCCACCAGCCTCCCCCTTCCCTGATTTACAGTCAGCTCTTCTCCTGGATACATCCAGAGCCTGGATGTCTCTCTCCTCCAGGGAAACTGGGAATGGATGTGCCGAGGAGGGTGAATGAGGGGAATCACATGGCCCTGGCACGGGAAAAGCTGCACAAAGGAATCATCAGTGCTGATGCCTTGAGGGGAACATCAGCTGTTGGCCATCAGTCCCTCCTCCAGCTCCTTCTGCTTTTCCACAGCTGCCAGTTCCAGCTCTGGGCTCCCAAGGAAGGGGCTGCATTTCTCTCCCATATATTTTTAATTTTGCCCTTTTCTGGGCTCCATTTCAGAATTTCCAGCCTGGAAGTTCATCCTGAACCAGGGGGAGAACAGAAATCGGCCACACCAGGAAGAGACAGGAGGCAAAGCAAAGTTTGGGTGACTGATCCAGAAGGATCTGCGGGGTGGGAATTTGTTGCCCCACTGGAAAATCCATCTGCTCCCGTTATCCCAGAGCAATTAAGATCCTGTTGGAGCCACAGCCTGGGGATGGACACCAACAATCCCACACAAAGAGCAGAGACACAGGGGGCCGATTTGGGACCTCAGGGTGTGGGTGTGGGTGTGGGGGGAGGGTGACGCGATCCTGCTGCCCTCACCCCTTGGAAGAAGGTGAACATGACGTTCCTGGGGAGCAGAGGGACGTCGGGGGCTTTGTGAAGGGCTTCGGCCGCCGCCAGGTGGGTGACGAAGGAGGACACGGCCCCCTCGGCTCCGGGGGCGATGTTCCAGAAGAAGGAGTGGCTGTCGATCTGGAAGCAAAACCACACAGGAATTCTATGCTGGGAAAACTTTCCCATCACAAATTCTATGCTGGGAAAGCAAAAGCCATCGCTCTCTCTCTCTCTCGTTGATCCCGCTCATCCCACCGGAAAGGGGAGGATCGAGCGGATGATGGAACTTCAAATATCGAGGGGGTGGTTGTGACAGTGACAGGGGATTTATGGAATGGTTGGCTTGGAAGGATCTTAATCATCCAGTCCCAGTCCCTTCCACTAGCCCAGGTTGCTCCAGCCTGGCCTTGGACACTTCCAGGGATGGAGCAGCCGCAGTTTTCTGCAAAATCTGTGCCAGGGCCTCCCCACCCTCACAGGGAACAATTTCTTCCATACATATCCTACCTAAATTTCCCCTAAATTTGAGCCTCAAGACCTCAGAGCTTTGCCACAGACTTTTCACCTTGTCTGCTTCTATCAGTGAAAAAAAATGCTGGAAAAATTCCCACATCTAACAAGATGGAAAGACCCAAACTGTGGATGTCCTTCCACTGCCACAAGGGACAGAGCCAGTGTTGTATCCCAAGAACGCAGCAGCCAGTCAGATCCAAAGGGTTTGGAACGTGGCAAGAAACCCAAACACGTGACAAACACATTCCCATGAGACTGGGAAATCCCAGCTTCCCAGAATTCTTCCAGCCCAAGCTTTACAGAGCAAGATTAAGAGGTACCTACTCGGGTGGCAACCATAATAACTTCCTTCTCAGGATCGACTTTTCCAGAGGAATTGATGGGCTGCAAAGTGCTCCACACGTTGTAGTCAAGGAGAGGATCACACACAATCTCTGGGAAGCACAAAAAAACCCACATTCCTGAGGGGTTGGGATCACAGCAGCGACAAGTGAGAAATGAGTTTTTTTTTTTTTTAATCCTCACACTCGGCGTTTTAAGTCAACGAGCAACGGGGAAATCCTGGCTCCAGGAAAAGCCCTGGCAGCAGGAAAAAAAAAAAATCCACAGGGATTTGGAGCCCCACGTGACAAGGATGAAGGGAGGGGGGGGTGGATCTCACCTGGGTTGATGCTGAAGGTGCTCTGGAGGGAGCTGCGCCTCATGCAGGTCACGGTGCTGGTCACTGCGTGCATGTGGGAGAAGAGCTGCATGGCACAGAGGGGGTACTCGGGGGCAGATCCATCCCTGGGGACGTTGTGATCCAGGTAACACTGGGTGGGAATGGAAATCATGGCATAACTCAGTGGGATTTTGTTGTATTTTTTCACCACGGGGGGACAAAGCCCCCCTCTGCCGGGAGGAGCAGCAGCTCCTCTCTGCTGCCCGCCGAGGT